TATTTCAGTCACTTGGAATCCAATTTTTTTTTCTTTTCTATTTCTTCCTTTTCTTGGTGGTGAGAGCACACCGGGAAGTGTTCAGGGCTATCCCTGGCTTTGTGCTTCCAAGTGAGCTGCTGCTGGTGCTGAGAAGCGGGCATGCAGGCCAGGAGTCCCACTGGGGTCAGCAAGCTAGAAAGCTAGTGTCTTCACTCCCATACGTCCCCTCAAACCTTAATCCAATTTCTTGAAAAATAATTTAAGAAATGACCTCCTGTACCTTATTGTTTGGTAGGCAATGTGAAGCATGTGGCTATGTTTTAAACATTTCTTATCTGCATTGGTACAAGATATAATTAAAAGTTATTTTCTTTAGCTTTTTAGTTGTAGTTTTATAATAATAATATATGTAAAATTCTCTTCAACTAATAGCACTTTTTTTTTTGCTTTTTGGGTCACACCTGGAGATGCACAGGGGTTACTCCTGGCAGGGCTCAGGGAACCATATTGGATGCTGGGAATCAAACCCAGGTTGACCGCGTGCAAGGCAAACGCCCTACCCGCTGTGCTATCACTCCAGCCCTTAGAAGATAAATAATGGCAAAAGCCTATACTTATTAAGATTTTAACTCAGTGCTTCTAATGGACAAAAGCATGCTATTAGAGTATAATCAAGGAAATAAGAGATATTTGTTTTTCAGAAAGCAGACTAATGTGATATAAAGAATATGGTTAATTCTACTTAGCTCTGCTACTAATTAGCTCTGTGCTGCTGGGTAAGCCCCTGATATCTTTGTGATTCCATTTGTTCACCAGTAAAATGCTCTTAAAATTATTTTTCTCATAGCTCTTTAGTGAAAACTAAAGATTTCATTTATAGAGCACCTGGTCCTTCCACTTTCAACCTGAAAGATCACTGTCAAAATGCAAATGACAAATGACCAGTCCCATCAAAGTGAGCATTAAAAATATTAATTATATATTATATTTACTAAGTGGTTTTGGGTACTATTTTCAGGGTTACAGGATTTCAAAATGACTGTACAAGTAAAGGATGAATGTTATACTTGAAATATTAAAACTGAATCTCAGAAAGCTGTTTGTACAAAATTACATATAAAAATTAATGAAGTCCAAATTTGCTAATCCCATAATATTATAATACCATATTTTCATATTATGTAAGTCATATTATATTATGAATATCATATTGCATTGTGAATACCGATTATGACAACATATTAATATTATGATACCATAATATTAGTCATCATTCAATCTTTGCTGATTACTTGTTTTTGCCAGAAATATGAGGGATACTAACAGATCCCTTGCTATCTTGAATATTACTGTTTCACTGACAGAAACTGACATTTTAAAAATCAAAATTGGATCCAAGCCCTGAACACCATAGGGTATGCCCCCTCCCCAAAAATTCATTAAATAAAATCATAACAGAGTAGTATTCCATTGTTCAAATATGTCACAATAAGTTTATCCAGTGGTCTGTTCTTGGTGACTTTGGTTTTCCTGGTCTTGACTATAGTGAATGGTGCTATAGTGAATACAGAGCACAGAATCTTTTCAAAATAGTGGGTTTGGGGCTATGCGGTAGATGCTGAGAAGCAGAACTACGGGACCTTATGGAAACTTGATTCTTAGTTTTAGGTTTTGGTCTTAGGACCACATCTGTGATGCTCAGAGCTCTCCTGGCTCTGCACTGAGATCATTCCTGGCTGAGCTGATGCGACCACACAGTACTGAACCTGCGTCAGCTGCACACAAGGTCAACACCTTACCTGCTATATTTGCTCTCTGAAATTCATAGGGTGTTTGTTTGTTTGTTTGTTCATTTGTTTTGTGAAGTGTCCATGTTGTTTTCCAAAGAGGTTGAGATTTCCTGAGGCGAGGGTAGGGGTATGGGAGGGGTCCCCAGGACCCTGGTGGAGGGGACTAGGAGCTCTGGTGGTGAGTGTGCTGCTGAAACAATGTAGACATAAACTACACTGACATTCTTGTAATCACTGTGCAAGTTATACAGTTGAAATTACACATAGTATTTTGAAAAGTTTTAAGGTGGTGGAGAAAATCACATAGCAAAATATTAATTATGGGAATTGTTAGAAGTGATGGATCTTAAATAAGGCCTCCCTGAAAGGTGCTTTTGAACAGAGATGTGAAAGAAAGAAAGGAGACAAGCAGACCGTAAGATAAAGAGGAAGTTAAACAGAAAGAACAAAGCGTTGCAAAGATCTGTGTTAGATGCATGGTCATTTCACTTAAGGAATATCAAGGAAGCAAGGACGGGATGGGGGAGGAGCACAAAAGGAGATGAATCCTGAGAAGCAGCATCATCAGACCTTGAAGCCATACCCTACGCAATGCTTTTCAACGTAGTTATATCATATAGGTTGATATGTCACCTAGGGATAGCAAGACATTGATAGGATCTGTTTGACATGGCAGAAAAACTACTCTCTCTGATGGTTGAAAACGAAGGGACAGAGAGATGGTGCAATGTGCTGGAGCACGCGATTGGCATGTAGGAATCTCAGGTTCCTTCCCAAGCACTGCTGGAAGCAACCCTGAGCAAAGTCTGGATTGGCCTATGAGCACTGCCAGTTGAGGCCCAAAAACAAAAGAAAGAAACAAGATTTGTTGGTAGGTTAGATATAGATTTGACTTAGTGCCATTTCCTGAAATGAGTAGTGCACTTCTTGAGATGAAAACTACTGAAGCAGAAAGTGCAAACATAACATTTTTAAATTGTTGATGTTTTTATTTGTTGAAACATGAGAAACACGTTTAATGAGATCATCAATTAATCCTTAGGATTTTCCAGTGAAGGAATGGAGATTCAGAACAATTATAATTTGCCAAAAATTACACAGCTGCCAATTGGCAGAAGCAGACAGAACTACTCTGTGTGGCCCTGAGTCTATACTCTTCAGTTCTCCTGTGTTTCCTGAACTAAGACAGAACAAAATTCCTATGGGAAGGAAGTACAAGAACTACCGACTTGCACTCAAATATTTGCTGTTGGATGAACAAATGAAAAGAAATCAATGGCTGGATGATGAATAGATAACAGAGAAGTCTTGAGTAAGAAAAATAGAGTGAAGACTCCTTGCTACAGAAAACAGATTATGGATAATGGAATCCAGGTCTGTAAGAGAAATAAGGCATAAAACTGGAAAAAGGAAAGTATGTATTTGCCTGTACAAATCCCAAACTAAGGGTGTGTCTTCACCTATTATCTTGATGGAATAAGTATTGTGGGGATGGAAAGATAATCAAGAAGAGATAAACAGAGCATTTTACATAGTGCAAGTGCTCAATACATTTAAAAAATACAAAAAGCAATAATAATAAAAGTTGGAACTTTTTTATTTTTAGTCCAATATAATGGACCACACAGCCTTTTAAATAAAAAGAAATCTTTTAAGGCAACCATTGAAACTACAATAAATGTCTCTGTATAGACACCACATGGTGTTTGTGGTAGCCAAGAAGATTTAGAGGATCACATCCACAAATCACTTCCTAGACTTTTTCATCAGATTATTTCAATACCTAAATTTTCTTCCTTTGTGTTTTATCCTTCAGTCATTGGGATAAGAAATTCAAGTTTTTGAAACAGAAAACAAAACTTGAAAGCAAAGGTTTGAGTTCCCCTAACAGAGATACCAGTCAACTTTTAACTGAAATGAGAAAATATTTGTTTTTCAGTGTTACAAAATTGAAAAATAACTACAATGAGTTTCTTTAAAATGTTCTGAAGTCCTTTTCAGTAATAACTGTTTATGATAAAAACTGATCACTACCACTCATTTTTTAAACACAAAGTCAAATTAATGAATAAAATAAAATCATTCATATCTAAAATTATTTTGTAAGTGATGAGCAGTTTCAAGAATCAAATTAAAACTAAAAAGTACTGCTTTCTAACCCCAAGAATCATATGGAGGTGGGATGGTGTGGGGAGGAATAACTGAGTCAAAATCCTTAATAACCTTTAAATGACAAAAATTGGGAGGAGATGTAGTTAGAAGGTGCATGCATGACAAAAAACCTCAACACTTGCACAACACGAAAAGCTTTTACAGATATATATTTTTATATTCAGTAGACTAAAAGAACTTTTTTCAGAAGATCAAATACAATGTTTAAAGCTTCCTCCAGCCCAATTAATTTCAGATAAGATCTCACTTATACTTGGGTTAGGGTGGGGAGGGGACTTACAGTGACTCAACCAACTTTGACTCAGAAAACATTTGGGTTTGTGAAAGACAGCCGCACATACATGCTGAGATAAACACGTGTTGTTCACACACACACACACACACACACACACACACACACACACACACACACACACACACCACCTGTGTAGAACAGAACCTGAAGGCCCAGTATCACGACTACCCCATGGGTCAGCCGCATTTGAGGGCCTGTGGCATTTCCAAAAATAGGAAGCCACAAACAGCCTTACTTAGTCACTGGGAACTTAGCAAACAGCCAAGCACTCAAGTTTTCTGGGTTGTGTTCCTTTGCTTGGTGGGCGGCATGGGTTTGTGAATTCGCGGGTTTTTTTTTTTTTTGGGGGGGGGGGGGGTTGTTTTAAGGAAACCCCCAGGAACTGCAACCTGTTCACGGAGCTCGCGGACCCCGGGCTGCAGTCGGAGGCGAGGGGCCAGCCGGTCCGCGGTGGGGACGTCGCTGTCCCCGCAGCCGGGGGTCCGCGCGCCCCCTCCCTCCCGCCTCCCCCGGGACTCCCACCCTGCGGGCTCGGGTGCGCCCCGCCTGCCCTGCCCAGCCCCGCGGGGTCCGCCCGGGGTGGGGGGTGGGGGTTCGGCAAGGGCGCCCCGGGGTGGGGGCCGCGCCGCGAGGGTCCCCGCCGCCCCTCGCCCGGGAGTCGCGCCCGCGGCGCGCGGGGACCGGTACCCGCCGGTACCAGCCGATCATCGCCGCGGCCCACGGGGCCCGGTCCCGGGGAGCCCGTCCCCGCCCGTACTCACCGAGGCGGCGTGTGCTCGCGGCCCGGCCGGCTGCGCCATCCACGGGCCCCGGGAGCTGGAGAGGAGCGGCCGGCGCGTCCCCCGGCCCAGCCCCGCCGGCCACTGCGCACCGTCCGCGCACCGGGCCGGGCCGCGCGCTCCGCCGCCCGCCGCCCCCGCCTGCAGCGCCGCCGCCGCCGCGCACTGGTGGGGGGGGGGCAGGGCCGGGCCGCGGGGAGGGCGGGTGGGGGGACAGCACGCAGAGCCCGGCCCGGCCGTGGGGGGACGCGGCTCGCGCCCGACACCCCCGCGGCCCCGCTCCCCGCCGCAAACTTCCCGGCGCGGCGGCCCCCGGGCCCGGGGCTTGCGGTGCGCGGGGACTGACGCTCCCACTGCCGTGTCATGCACACGCACCGCTGCCCCGCACGCTGGAGTACTGATTGACACGCAGACACTTAGACACGGACGTGGGTGCAGGCATGCACGCCCGCACCTTGGCAGCCGTTTTTGCAGCGGGGTGCTGGTCGTTATGTAATGCTTCGCCGGTCCACGGAGCGCAAGGCAGAGGGTGAGACCCTTTGGCGACTGTCGAGCGGTCCCTTAATGCCCAGTGAGACTGTCTTGTCCGTCCTGGCTACAAATTTTGTTCCTGTCGTGCCCAGTAAAAACTCAGTTTACCGGTTGTTGTTGTTAAGAGCCACTGCCCAGCACAGGGGTATTTCAGGGATCACTGCTCTGTCAAGTTCTAAGGGAGACGGGACCATTCACACAATGCCCACAATAGTACTTTCAGGAGGGGCAAACTTGCCCCTTTCTCCCGGATGGACCCACATGGTTCGCGAATGGCTGAGAAATGAGAGAAACAGCTGAAATGTCAGCGAGTTTCAGGTGGGATTGAGCCACTCCCAGGTCCTGTGTACTCCACAGAGGCCAGTGGGCAGCGCACTGCCCCACACTTCTCACTAATTTGATGTCTTTTCAAGCATCTGTGAATGAGTCCATATTATACCTGTAGTCAGTTTGTGATCATCAGAGGAAAGTGTAAGTCCTCATACTCCGTATAATATGGGATCATAGTTCACATAGCTCTTAGTATGATCTCTAAAGTGAATCTTCCACAAATTTTCTCAGAATAAATTGTTTCCTATACAAGCTCTTTGTATGTTCTAATATGATGCTTCTTATATTTTGCTGTACACTTTTCTTTTTTCTCCCCCCCAAAAAATCACAAACCCTTTCAAAGAAAAAAAAAATCTTAATGTTACATCCTCAACGGGCTGGAGAGATAGCACAGCGTAGGGCGTTTGCCTTGCTGACTTGGGTTCGATTTGTCCACCCCTCTGGGAGAGTCCGGCAAGCTACCGAGAGTCTTCCCGCCTACATGGCAGAGCCTGGCAAGCTCCCGGAGGTGTATTCCATATGCCAAAAACAGTAACAAGTCTCACAATGGAGACGTTCCTGGTGCCCGCTAGAGCAAATCGATGAATAATGGGAGGAGAGAGCTGCAATGCTACATCCTTAACATCAAATACAGGAAGTTTAATAATCAGTAAATTGTAGACTGATTATACATAATTATTATTCGATTACACTGTGATTTTTAATGATAATTAGATGAAATTATTAAACGCTTGTCTAAAGCCAATCAGATCGGCACCTTCATCCTCTGCCCATCAAGGTCTGTGGCAGAGAATGAGGCAAACACATAAGGAGGCAAACAACACATAAGGTGAAAAATGAACATACTCATGGATTGTCCAAGCTTTAGGTCTCCTGGGAAGCCATCCTTGAGCTTACCGGTTGGCCATTTATTCAGAACAATATCACTCCCCATACCCCACAGAGGAGATATTCAGCACATCAAATTTCAATAGGCACATGAAGATCAGAGGCTGAGGCACTTCACAAAACTAATCAACCGGCATGTGTAAAACAAAAGTCCATAACAGTTTCCTATTTTATTTTTCCCATGATACTCCTAAATCTAAAAGCACTCTTGTTCTATGCTTGCCTCATGTACATTTGAAGCCAGAGATAATTTTTACATATTCTACTCTTTCTAGCTATTCTATTCTTTCCTGGGTACACATTTGGAAACGCTTTGCATTCTAAGACCTAAACTGTTTTACCTAGGGGAATATCCCATGCTTGAGGGTTTTTGTTAGAGGGAAGAAGGCCCATATTTTGTAACTTTAATATGGGTTTCAAAGACTACCTCAAAGATGATTGTTTTATGTATCTGTATAGGGTAAGGAGTCTCAAGAATTCAAACTTTAAAAAATATGCTGCCTAATACTATGAGTGATGACTTTTTATCCCCTCCCATCCCATGCCCCCAAAAAAGTAATGTTTCCTTCTCAACCAGTGAAAATCGCAGTATAATTAAAGTGATCATAGAGTAAAAATCACTAGGTACCTTCTCTTCTTGAGACAAAGCTACTTCAGAGATATAGCTCACTTATCTCCATGATCAATATATGTGTTTACTAGAATGAGCCTCGGTGAATTAAAATATAACTTTCTGAACCAAGTTACAAGGGGCTTGTTATCTTGTATTTAGATCCCTGTCTTATTAATATTTGCTCTCCCCATTTTCAAAGAAATAGACCAAACATGAATGAAATTCATATGGAACAATAAACTCCCACCAATTACTAAGGCAATCCTTGGGAAAAAGAAAATGGGAGGCATAACATTTCTCAACTTCAAACTCTATTACAAAGTGGTAGTAATTAAATCAGCATGGATGGTATTGGAATAAAGATTGACCTGCAGACCAGTGGGGTAGAGTTGAATATCCTGATACAGAATGCACAAATATATGATCATTTGATCTTTAATAGAGGATCAAGTAATATGAAGTGGAAGAAGGAAAGTCTCTTCAACAAGTGGTGCTGGGGAAACTGGGCAGTTAAATGTAAAAAAAAAAAAAATGCAGGCCCCTTTCTAGTTTCATGCTAAAAGTGAGATCTGAAATGGATTTAAGACCAGATTAGATCTGAATCCATGAGGGACATGGAGAAAAACAGAATCCTCCATGATATTGAAGTTAAAGGCATCTTCAAAGGTAAAACATCACTGACCAAGCAAATGAAAGCAAAGATAAGCGAATGAAGTTATATTAAACTAAGAAGCTTCTGCACCTCAAAAGAAACAGTGACCAAGAGATAAAGACAGCCTATGGAATGGGAAAAATCATTTACCCAATACCCATCTGATAAGGGGTTAGCATCAAGATATATAAGGCACTGGTAGAACTTTACAAGAAAAAATAACATCAAACTCCATCAAAATATGGGGAGAAGAAATGAACAGAAACTTCTTCAAAGAAAAAATACAAATGACTAAAGGGAACATAAAAAAATGCCTACATCACCATCAGGAAGATGCAAATTAAAACAACAATGAGATATTACCTCACCCACAGATACTGGCACACATCAAAAAGAACAAGAGCAACCAGTGCTGGTATGGATGCAGGCAGAAAGGCACTCACATTCCATTACTGGTGGGACAGCTGATCTGTCCAGCCTTATTGTAAACAATATAGGCATTCATAGAAATTGAGCTTCCATAGGACCTAGCATTATCACTTCTAGAAATATACACTAGTGATCTGAAGGCACAGTGCATAAAAGCCATCTGCACTTCTATATTCATTGAAGTACTATTCACAATAGCCAGAATGTGGAAACAACCTGGAGTTCCCGATAACAGACAACTGGATAAGAAATTATGATGCATCTACACAATAGAATACTACACAACCACAAGGGAAAATGAAGTCATAAAATTAACTTATGAATGGATGGACCTGGAGAATATCATGCTGAATGAAGTGAGTCAGAAGGAGAGGGACAGATACAGCATGATTGCACTAATTTCTGGGATATAAAAAAACTGTATGAGAATAATATCCAAGGACAATAGAAACAAGGGTCAGGAGGACTGGCCCATGGTTGGAAGCTTGCCACATGTAGGGGTGGAGAGGGAAGTTAGATTAGAGAAGGGTCCACTATGGCAATGATAGTTGAAAATGATCATGCTGGACAAGAATTGAGTGCCTAAAATAAGTAAAGCAATATATATGATATAAGCTTTCAGTTATCTGTATTGAAAACCATAATAAAAGGGAAAAAGAGAGAAGAAAAGTGACTGCCATGAGGCAGACTGGGAATAGAAAGGATGGAAGGAGGGACACTGGGGACATTGGTGGTGGGAAATGTTCACTGGTGAAGGGACAGGTGTTAAAACATCGTATGACTGAACCCCAATCATTAACAACTTTAACTATGTATCTCACAGTGATTTAGTAAAGCTACTTAGGATGTCCAGTTCAGATCACATCTGAAGAACTAACCAGGGAAACAGTCATTAAACTTGACCTTTGTCACTAAAAAGGTATACTGACAAAATATCAACTTACTGAACTCTTATTGTATAACCAGACAATTCCATCCATGTATTGAAGTTTTTCATCTCTGCAATAAAACTGAGACAACTACTATTAGCATCACTTCCATGTGCCTTAGAGGAATGAAACACAACAGAATTAATGTCCATAAGTCCATAATGACTTATCTCTTTCCATTCCATTCACTATCACACTGATATAGTGAGAGTTTTAACTTCCCAAATCTAAGCTAGATATATATAGATATCCATACACACACACACACACACACACACACACACTCACACACACACAATCAGTTGCTTGATAAGTGTTTGATAAAGAGCATTCTTCCTATAAAACCTCAAATTCTGTGAAAACTTTTCCCATGCAAGTATCCCTTGATCAGCTACAATGGCAGCGATTTCTTACCCATAAACATAAACCAGTTTTTATTACTGGTCAGCAATATCTTAAAATAGTATAGATAGATGCTCCACAGAGGAAAGCAAGATGGATGAATTTCAGATTTCCCACTCTCAAATTTTATCTCACAAATTTGAATATGTATATTTTAACCCAAACAATCCTACTTCTTTTCTGTATTGGAGTTCAGATGGTCTATGTTGGTCAAAATTTAAACCAGAATTTCAAGCAGGGAAATAATTGGG